AGTAGACTATTAAAAGACAACACTTAGAATTTTAAATATAAGTAGCATTCCTCATCTCCCCAATTAGGCTGCAAGCTTCTTAAGGGCATATATTTTATGGATGTATATCCCCGTCAGTAACACAAACCTTTGGAATTGCACTTACTGAATAAAATGACCCTGTCACATGTTCTTAAGTGCCAGATAGAATCAAACTGGCAAGAGCTGGGAAACTGATAAGATGCCTGGGAGTTAAAGATTCTTGACTTCTCAGACAAAAAGTCTTCTGGGGTCAAAAATCTCTGCCACAACCAAAATCTGTTCCTTTCTGCCAATGGCTCATGCTGCCTTTGGAGGCAGGTAAGATGCTTTCTTCAAGGTAGGTATCTTTTGTATAATATCTTAACCAAAATGAAACTGAAAAGATCTTCAGCTTCCCTTTCATAACTGCAGGAACTTTTACAGCTCTAATGGGGAGGTCTCAGGTTTTAAGGAACTGCCATTTTAGTTAGGTAAGTAGCTCCAGGCGCTGGAACCATCTGAACTATTAACTTGTTTTATATTAAAACATTATAGTTACAGTTGGCTCACACATATTTTATTAGAAAAGATGACCAAATCACACTGGTCTTAAATAATTTTAGGGCATAAATTTTAAATGTTAGAAGTTTGAGCTTTTTTCCTCACATTTCTTTAGTTTCTAAGGGGCTCAACTATTTCTAAATACTGCCCCTAATGTTAACACACTTTTTTTTAATATCCAAATTCATGTATCCCATTAAATATTTGTTTAACTAGAAATATTAATTTTGTCACTTGGTGATCCAACAGTCTCAACTGTGTAGTGTGTAAGATTTTTTTTTTATATGCCTTGTCAGCAATATGGATTCCAGAAGGATTTCTTATCAAGGAACAAATGAAAGGGGACAAAAAAGGTGAATCGGCTTTTCATCCATTCCTCACAGAAACCTAACATGAATGTGTATCTTCAGGAAGCTGGGCATATCAGAGCCAAGATAGAAATTAGACATAAACTCTAAGAATATGGTGGTTATAATTCAGATGATACAGTTGTGAATGGGGTTTCCTGAAGACAGTAACAAGAAATGCGGATTTCCAGTCTCAAACTCCAACCAGTTGTGTCAGAGGGCTACTAACCTGTTTTCAGGAGGTACTATCTTCCCACTACTGAACGTTTTTCATTCAAGAGCAAGCTCCCTACAGAAGATACCAAACCTTATCTTTTTCCTTCACTAAAGGCGTAGTCCACTTAAACCTAATTCACTAAAGATTACGTACCTAGGATCTGGTCACTCAATGGCTATAGTAGCTTCCAAATGGCATCTATATACCTCTGTTCTCTGAGAACACAGTTTAAGTGCGTAGGCTCTTGAATGAAGAACTTTGATCCAATCAGGATTTAACAGAAAAGCATTACCAGTTCAAATTTAGCTAAGCTTACCTCTCAGAGTTCAATAATGGAGTTTCTATATAACCTCTCAAACATGTATGTAGGATGATAACACCCAAGGAAAAATGAAAGCTACAAAACAGATTGCTATAAACTACTCTGCAGTGTCCTAAAACCTTTGCATTACCTCAAACACTGACCTTACCAGCTTAATGGCATTCTGTCCAAACTAGTCCTATCATAATTAATTTTAATGTCTGGCTGGACATGGTGGCTCACACCTGTAATCCCAGCACTTTGGGAGGCCAAGGTGGGCAGATAGCTTAAGGCCAGGATTTCGAGACTAGCTTGGGCGACATGGTGAAACTCTGTCTCTACAAAAAATACAAAAGATTAGCCAGGCATGGTGGTGCACACCTGTGGTCCCAGCTACTCAGGAGGCTAAGGTGGGAGGATTGCTTGAGCCCAGGAGGCAGAGGTTACAGTGAGCCGAGATCGTGCCACTGCACTCCAGCCTGGGCGATGTACATATGTGTGTGTATATATATGTAGGTGATCCCTACAATACTCTAACCTCGACTTACTCTTTCAGTGATCTAGATTAGGGATTGACTGACAAACTAGAAACTAGTACCTTCTCAGTGCCAATGAAAACCTCCCAAATCTCAACCTCAAGCATCCTACTGTCTTATCATCATTCATCCTTCCGTCTCTTTCCCTCTAGTAATTTTTAAACACGACAGTCCCCTACAGTTCACAAATGTAACCACCTTTTTCATTCTTCATCCACTCCATTCCTGATTCTCTTTACCGAGCCTTTAGATTCTACTCCCCATCATTACAATCACTCCCTGCATCCTCCACTCCACTACCCTTCTCTTGTTGTATGTATCTGTTAACCTTAAGCCAGGTTTTAAAAACTGCCTATTCCTTACCAGAGTCTGCTTAGTACCAGGTGGCTGGAGAAAAAACACAACCGTGGCAGCCTGTGTTATTTTAACCTCAAGTTGGTCACGCTGGATGCCCATCGATCCTACTTTCTCATCTCTCAATCCCCAAACCCCACTCCCATCCTCAGTTTATTTCACTGAGAAAATAGGAGCAACCAAAATAACTTCAACAGAATCCCACTGCCTTACCAACTACCCCTTATACTCTGCCTTTCCTCCTTTCTATGAAGGTTGAATGTGTGTCCAAGACCCCATCCTCCCTTGCTTGCTTAAGGGCCTATTTTTCCTCTCAAACATTCCTATCATTAACAGAAAGGCTATAATTTCCTGCATCTTAAAATCTGATTGTTCTCAGATTAATTTTCCCTGTCAAACTATCAATAGCAGAAGAAGCTATAATATCCTGCATCTTAAAACTATCACGCATTACTTTCCTGGAAACCTCACAGGAAGAATTGCAATCGTCGTCTTCTTCCAATTTCTGTTGGATCCACTGCTTTCAGGCTTTGGCTTGCCACCATCGTGCTGAACCTGCTCTGGGGGAAGCTATCAGTTCTCTCTACATTGGTGCATTTTGAGCCCTCATTTGCTTCACCTATCAGCAACACGTGACAGTTAATCATCGCTCCTTGAAACTATTATTCATTTGGTTTAGGGGACTACCCTTCTTGAGACAGGGTCTTGCTCTGTCACCCAGAATGGAGTGCAGTAGTACCATCGTAGCTCACTGCAGCCTCCAACTCCCGGGCTCAATCGATCCTCCTGCCTTAGCCTCCTAAGTAGCCAGGACTACAGGCATGTGCTACCATGCCCAACTCATTTTTATTTTTTAATTTTTTGTAGAGACCTGGTCTGTGTTTCCCAGGCTAGTCATGAACTCCTGGGCTCAAATGATCCTGCCCAACCTTGGCCTCCTGAAGTGCTAGATTTGCAGGCCTGAGCTACCACACCCAGCTTATTTTTAAATAAATCCACCAGGGGAATACCCTTCTTTGAATGTCACTACTTGCAACCCAACCTCACTGGTGGCTCCCTCATTTGCTGGCTCACCTCCCCAAATCTAAACATAAGCATGCTTCAGTGCTTAGTCCTTGTACCTCTTCTCTGTCTGCACTCAATCCGTGGTACTCTCCTGTCTCAGGATGCCGCCGCCCGGGTAGCTCTCAGGCTGGGCCTTTCTCCTGAACTCGAGTCTGATACATGCTAATGCCTATGTGACACCCCCACTTGGAAGTATAAAAGACACTTAAAACAATGTCTAAAACCAAAATTTCTCTGCACACAACACCCCAGCCCCAATCTATTCTTAAGTCTTTCCCAACTCAGCCAGTGGCCATTCCATTGTTCTGTCATTAGCCAAAAACTTTGCAGACATCCTTGACTCCTCATCACACACTACATCCAACCCATTCACAAGTCCTGTCTATTCTGCCTTCAACATGTCTAGAATCCAACCACTTTCAGCACCTCCACCAGCTTCAATCAGGTTCAGATCTCTACCATATCTCACTTGAATTATTCCACAGTCTTCTAGCTGGTCTCCTGTTTCCACCTCTACCGCTTTATAGTCTATTCCCAACAAAGGAGTCCGAGGGATCATTTTAAGTCAGATTATGTGACTTTTCTGCCTCACTGGCTTCTCATTTTATTTAGAATAAAAATCAAACACCTACACTCCCAACCTCTTTCCTTATCACTTTCTTCCCTCTCATTCCTCTCCAGCTAGTGACCCACTCGGTGTTCCTTGAACCTGGCAGGAGAATCCTTTGTATATAGCATTTTCCATTTTCTCTTCTTACATTTTTTTCTCGCAGATAAATGTACTTCTCTCATTTTCTGTAGGTTTCTGTTCAAATGCTTCCTTATCCCTGAGGCTTTCCCTGATCACCCTCAATGAAAATGGGGTGGGTGCACACAGGCACACACCTTCACTTTTTGTCCATTAGAAAAACTATTACCATGAGGATTCTTGACCGATGTCGTATATTCTTAACAGTGTGGAGCACATAAAAATCATTTTTTAAAAATTGCTGAACTAATCCATATGTATCACCATCTGACATACTATAGATTTCTCTTCCTGCTGGAATGAAAACTTCAAGAACATAGAATAGTGCCTGGCGACCAGTAATTGTTAAGTAAATACTCAGAGAATATAAATGATCTACTCTGAACTTTTAGTGTGTTCCTTTTTACTAAAAGCTTAATAGTAAAAGACCACATCTTACTCAAAGGTTGTTACTTACCACCCTCTTCTGGCAGTTCTATTAGCAAATGTCCAAGGTGATTTTTTAAAGACGTGTAAATAAATCGTTTTACCTCTTTTCATGCAAATAGCATAATTTTTCTTGCAAAAAGAAAAAAAATCACTTTTGAAAGTGAGCTGAAATGATCAGTTTTCTGTAGACCTGCAGCTTTCACTGACAAACAGGAGCGCTAAACCACTGCTGGTGGTATGAACATCCTGCTGTCGATCCAGCATCTATCTACTCTTCTATTGCTCCTTGCTGGCAAAGTGTAGAAATGCTTTGTAACCTGAGAGAAGCATTATAATTATTACCTTTCTGGGGCTCCCTGTGCCAGGCGTATCGGCCTACACTGCATAGGGCGGCAGTGAAGAGGGAGGGCTCTTACAGATATAATTAAAGGCCAAAACCACACATTGTCATATAGATTTTAATAGATTTTCTGATTAACTCATCACAGTAATCATTTTTACTGTAATGATATGCAGCTTTACTACACTAGTATAAATAAAAACAGATAAATACAGCTCTAGGTAACATCACAGGTTAACAAACTAAGCATTCTTTGTGAACCAAAACTGAAAACAATTATTAAGAAGAAGAGATGCTGACACCCTTGCCCATTCTCATCATACCTTCTCAAAAAGGGTATTCAAATAAGGCGCTACAGTTATTATATTGGTAAATTAATTTGCCAATTAGCCAGGCACAACAATTTCATGGTCTCCACTATTTCATTTGGTTGAAAAGGAGACACACCTCAATGTACGAAAAAGAAAATGGAACAGATAACACCAAAGAAAACCACTGAATGCATTAAAAATACGGCACTTTTCCTGTATTTTAGCAGTAAGACACGCTAGGGATAGAAATACACCAAAAAAGAAAATTAATGCTTTAATTAATATCCACTCTGAAATGTCAGTCTCTGAAGCAAGATGGGCAATGAAAAGAGGAGCAGAAATAAAAAAGAGAAATATGGAAAATAAACTCCATGTGAAGTTTTATGAAGCTATCTGCAAAGAAACCGATTTCTCCTTTGAAGGCTTGTAACTCGAGACAGTAAGTTATCCAGCAGCCATGCTGAGGAGTTCATAGTCTAGCAATACCTTGCACAGAGGCAAATACACTTAAGACAAGTTGGAGATATATAGAACTATCATTGAGAAATGATTTTAGTCTGGATGGCCCAAAAACCTTTGAAAGGGCTATGAAGAAAACTTGAAGTCTATCAAAGGAGGGAAGTAATAAGGACTAATCTTAGGCAGACAGCACAGCTAAGAATGTTTCCCAAAATCCTGAAAATTTTGCTCAACTTTCAATCCTCATTATTATATGGCTTCATGATCTTATAAGTCTTCAGGACCTTACAGATCTTAATAGGTATATTATAATTAAGAACTAGGAAGTGAAGAATCACTTTCAAAATGTAAAAACAGCTCATTGCCAGTTGTGTTTCAGAAAATGTCTGTCTGGGCCAGGTGCAAGTGCCTCAAGCCTGTAATTCCACCACTTTGGGAGGCTTAGGCAGGGGGACTGCTTGAGCTGAGGAGTTGAGACCAGCCTGGGCAACATGGCAAAACCCCATCTCTACTAAAAATACAAAAAAAGTAGCTGGGCATGGTGGCGCATGCCCGTAGTCCCAGCTACTCGGGTGGCTGAGGCGGGAGGATCACTTGAGCCCAGGTGGTCAACCCTGCAGTGAGCCAAGACCATGCCCCACTGCACTCCAGCCAAAGAAAAGACAAAAATAAAATGTCTGCTTGCAAAAACTTCATTTTCCTATCAAAAATGCATAATTACAGAATATTTAGGCCAGTCCTTTGAGTAAACTGCCTTTGCCAATTGTGAATTAAGACTGTGATTAAAACAGACAATTCCAAAAACAAAAATCCCAAATATACTCCAGTGCATTTTAACTCATCCTGCAAAAAATGTCCAAACCATCATTGACCACTTCAAATATGGATGTGACCTAGCTCGAGATTCAAAGGTTATTTTCATATTAAAATTTTAACTGCTATCTTTGCAATTCTATTGTTTTTAAATTTTTTGATTTTTTTTTTTTTTAAGAAGGTAAACACTAACTTTTGGTTTTATTCTCCAAAGTAATGTAGTTTTTCAGTTTTCCAGTTAATGTAGTTTTTCAACTTTCCAGTTAACGTAGTTTTTCAACTTTCCGGTTAATGGGTCAAAATGGACAGGTCAGAAGACATAATCCGGAGGATGGCAGTGAAAGATCAGAGAACGGTTTATGTACACACTGGATCACAGAGAGAGAACCACAACCTCTTTTTAAACCTTTGTTCCCACTGTAAACTTTGTTCATATCTCCATATTTGTAAGTCTGAGTTATTCTATAAAAATCACATTAAAAAGGTAAAATTACTTAAGTGCAATATTAACTGATCTGTATTTTATAAATTTTAATCCATAAAAATATAAATAAGAATGGTAAATTTTTAAGAAAAAAAATATACATTTAGTGCAAGTTATGAATTACATTTCTTCTTCAGTGTCAGCCATGTGATATCTTGAGAAAAGAAAAGAATGACTGATCTAATTTCAATTTTAAAAATTCCAGTGTTTTAACATGCAATTAATACCAGATACAGCTAAACAGAATACTTCCTTCTCTTTACTGTCAAAGCAGCAGCATTTTGTTTAATTATGCTGAACAGCACTTGTATATCATAGTAGTTGTGGAAATAGAAAATTTGCATAAGACCAGGTCACATTATCCATAAAGTCTGAGAGGAAAACAAAAAAGAAAACTGTTTATCCTTCAAAACCAAGCTTCATTGTTTTCGGTTTTGAGCCACATGGCACACAATGAGAGATTTCGTTCAGGCTTCCTTCGAGATTTTACCTGTTTGATCAACCTTTGTTGTGGTGCATGTGTACTGTTCCAAGCGTTTAGTGATGGTACAAACTACATGGTTAATGGCACAAGAAACACTCCCTTCTTGTGATGAAACCTCAGTAAAATCACAGTACATCTCAATATGAGAAAGGACTGCTTCAAAAGGGTACACCGATTTAAAGAGGCTTTGTTACAGCTCAGGAGAGAGAGAGAGAGAAATAAAGGCTCTTCTGGAATGTAGAAAGGTAATGCTTAACTATACAATTCATGAATTAAACAGAACAGTTTTGATTTAAAAAAAAGGGCAAGACCTTGCAGTTTTATAGATGGCTCAATTCAAAGCAATCCCTCCAGAAATAGGGACTGATAATGTGTCTTTGCAATGTTGGAGCAACAGGCCAAGTGCTCGAGGACTCTGCTGTCATCTCTGTCGAGGCGCAAGCCTGCACTATCAGGCACATCCTCAGCTGAATGCATCCAGTGCAGAACAATAGGAGTTGATATACTGCTTTCTGTTAGGCGGGAAATACCTCACTCCTTTCCTTTTCTCTCCTTTCCCTCCCCAAACAACTCCTCCATTCCACCAGCATTATTTGCAAACCACGTTGCAAAAACCCGGCTTTTATATTTCCTTTCTTTTTTTGTAACGGAGGAAAAAAAAGTAGACAACTCCCTCGGGTTAAAGAGTTGTGCTATTCAACAAATAAACTTCCTCTTCTGTTTCTTCTCTCTCCTCATCTGTGAGATTCAGTTGAACATTATTGAAGCGGGGTCTTGGTTTGCCGTCTGGGCCATATGCCGGAGGATATCTTTTTTTGTTATAATGCCAAGGAGGCGCCTGAAAGGAATAAACAGAAGACTCCCATGAAATAAAAGGGAAAATAAAAGGAGAAGCTAAATCTATAGCTAAATCCTTTTTGTTGACAGGAATAGAGCAAAGCAAGCAGCCTGATTTTGTCTTTCCAAAGAGTACTTTATTGGTAAAGATATTAAAATTATCCAGCAACCATCCTTTGGTATAAAAAGTTACTATGGTCACTAATAGTATGACAGCCTTTCCACTGAGAGTCTGAGGACTGCATGCCTCAATGCAGCACAGCTATTTTGATTAATGTATGCCAACAAAAAAGTAACAAAAAATGGATGGATGTATGAATACGAAATGATACTGATCCCATCTGAGAAGGAAAATTGATTGCCATCACATGAAGAAATCAAAAATGATGACCAAATCTTCTCAATACTTTCTCTATTTATTTATTTATTTATTTATTTATTTATTTATTTATTTACTGAGAGTCTTGCTCTGTAGCCCAGGCTGGAGCGCAGTCGCGCATCTCAGCTTACTGCAACCTCCGCCTCCTGGGTCCCGGTTCAAGCAATTCTCCTGCCTCAGCCTCCCAAGTAGCTGGGATTACAGGCACGCGCCACCATGCCCCGCTTATTTTCAGACAGGGTTTCACCATGTTGGCCAGACTGGTCTTGAACTCCTGACCTTGTGATCCACCCGGCTCGGCCTCCCAAAGTGCTGGGATTACAGGCGTAAGCCACTGCGCCTGGCCACTTTCCCTTTTTTTAACCAAAATTAACCAATTTTTCAAAGATAATTTAAGGATTGCCCACTTGTATCAGAATCTTCATGAAAGCACATACTATTGAGATAAAATGCATATAAAATGGTCAACACAGAACATCAATCCCAAACATCAGAGCCCCAAGAACAAAGCTATAAGAGAACCCAAGTTTCTAGGACACTTATCAGTGTTTTCCTTTTTTTGATTTAGGCCAGAAAAGTTAAGATACAGTGCTTTTATGAAAGTCTTAGTTGTTAATGCTTACATTAAAAGATAGGTGAAAAATCAGAAAGCAGTCCTAAAAGATTATTACAGGTGAAGCAGAAAGCGGAATGAATGAGTTGCTACGATAATATTCTGGTTAGTAGTTTTTAAAAAAAGGATGCATGAAACACTTGTGAAATATTAGCATACAACAGGAATACATAATCAGTTGTGCACTTAAGCAAACTGGGACAAGTTTCATATAGGTATGACAATTGCAGGGCAAAATAATTTCAGGCATTAATTGCTAAAGCCAGACATTTTTTATGTTATGCAGTAAGATAATTCAAATTTGTAGTCATGAAACCACTAGGACATAAAGCCAGTTAAAATGAATGCATTTGACTCTAAAAGCTGCTTATAGCATTCTAGAAACATCATACAAAAGGGACACACACATAATCTAGGTACAATTTACTAATGAGATGGCAGGACACACACTGTGACTTTGAAGATATGCAGGGTATAGCAGAAAAAGAACTAATGCTATGATCACAAAGAATATACACATTACACTCTAGGTAGTGTGCCCATTGAAAAATCAATTTAACTGAAAGCAGTTCTAATTGCTAAGCTCCTTTCAAATCCTGTAGGAGCTTAGATTTACCATAAGACTACCACAAGATCAGAAAACATTTAAAAAAAAAAAAAAAAAAAAGGGCTTGGGGGGATGGGTCAGACATTTTTAACCAGTCAGGAGTCTTCTGAGACCGGTGTATCCACTGAGGTAGACAGATTTGCCATATTCACTTTAAGAATGTCCAATAATATTCACTTATTCCACTACCAAACTGTTTACAGTTCTGAAATTGTAATGAACGATTTGATGAGAGGTGTTACTTTTGCTTACTTTCTATAAATGGGATTTTACACATATCTAAATTTATCTTACAGACATATTTTATCAGATACAAATGTAATTGGCAGCATAGTAGGATATTTTTGTTCAGCAGATATCTGGGAAAGAGAGAACTCAACAGTTCACAAGTTTCATGCTTCCTGACTTCTAAGGTGTCTAATGAGGAGATCTGATATATCTAATCACCAAGGGTTCGACGTGCTGCTTTAGTTGCTCGAGATGCTCTAATATGTTCTTCTTTGTGATGATCCCCAAGACAATCCTGAAACAGATTATTATGCTAATAACTGTGTGAGAAATTAAATTAAAAGAGGTTCCAATCATAATGATAAAGAATGAGAGAAAAAATAAAAACATGAACCATAAGAATGAGTCTCATGAACCTTAGGAAATAAAAACAAAAATGATTTAAAGTTCCAGGTTCCTTTTGCATAAATTTTACTGACTTTCAAAAGTGACATAATACTAATCTTCAACATCAGTGGGTTATTTTTCTTTTTAAATTAAAAATAATATTATGAAAGTTTGGAATGAAGATGACTACAAAGCAAATACAAAATAAACTTAATATTGATACATAGCTATAGACCTCTGATATGTAGAGTTTCATTTACAATGTTCTTTCCTCAGAGGAAAATATTTTTCTAATTTCTATGATGTCACAACACAGCAGCTATCATCTGGATCTACCTTCACGAAAAGGTAGGAAAAGGCTGTGAGACTTTAAAAATCCCATGGATTTTACTATAATTTCAAATTCAAATTAAAGGCAATGTGCACTGAATAAATAATGCTGGCCAAAAGAAGCACTCCCTAATGTTCAGGAGCTGTGACCGCCACTTCTTAAAGCAAGCTAATAAAATGTATTTACGATTAGGAATTAAAAGGACTTTCACCTTCTGCATTTTTTCCTAAATAACAATTGTTTCTCATTTAGCATGTCATTGTTATCACATCAAGCAAAGTAATGGACATAAATTCTCATAATGAGGATACGTGAAAATAATAAGATTGCTAATTAAAATAAAATTATGGTTACTGGTTTTATAATGGAAATTAATGTGGCAATATAAACAGTGAAAATAAAAAAAAAAAAAAAACCTTAAAAAAACTTTAATCTTTAAATTTTGGAAGCCCATCCAAAATACCCTTCAGGATGACTGGACATTTCCCTGATGATCTCATTAAGTCAACCTCCCTGTTAAACAGCCTTTGAACATTCAGACTTGAACGATGTCACCAGGAGACTTCAAAGTAGCCTGTTCCTATAGCTATGTCCAGGTGTAAAATACTTAGCTTGATGGCTGGGGTGGGAGGCGGGAGAGCAGGAGGACAGAGAATGGGAAGGACAGAAATAGTTCTCTGCTCATGTTTTCTCATTATTATGTTAAAAATAATGTATCGATCCTTAAAAGTTCTCAGAGCATGGGAGCAACTTCCCCCTCCAAAAAAGCTCAGAAAATGCACTATATAAAATGAACATTCATTCATTCAACAGATGTTCTTCATCGACTAAACATTTGAGGTTTCTTTTTTTTAAGCCATCAATTCACTTTATTTTATTGTTGTAGTCAGGAAATGTGAAAATCTTGGCAATTAAATATAACACCAATTTAATTCTTACTCATGCTTTTCTATCCAATTATACAGAATGATTTATTTCAGTTAGTATCATCTATATTGTAAACTCCACCAAATCACAAAATATACTATGAGGAAAGTTACAAATGTATAAGGACCCAGTGGCAAATGTAGAATTTTACAAAGTAATCTCTGTATTTATAAAGTAAAAGCCCTAAAAGAGGGAGAAACCTACATTAATGGAGAAGAGTGATTCGAGCATAAGTCCAGAGTGCTACTTAGTAATTTTACAGATTGGAAGGAAAATCAGTGCAAAATGTGGCTCATATAAAAGATTATTTGCTGTTTCCCTTTGGGCTAAAAACTAATCATGTAAGAGTTAACAGGGCATAACCCAGCATTTCCAAAGCATGTTCCAAGAAACACCAATTCCCATGAGTTCTTCCATATCCTTCCCTGCAACCCAAAAATAGCTGCATTTTCAAATAAGTCTGGAAAACCATGTATCCTATTACCCTCGCCCGCATCTGGGAATCAAAGAATATCAACGTATTATAAGTTCTGAGGAGTTCCATAGTAAAGAAACCTCAATTGTATTTAATCCAATACTTCCCAAACTCAATCACAAAATGTTTTTTTCTCAGCCACTCCTATTAACATCCTGCTAATTCCACCAAGATTAACTGATTTTGAAAAATTCTAAGTTAAAAAATAAAATGCAGAAAATCAATAGCTAATTTAAATTTTTATAATTTACAAATATCTTTCCTTTTCATCTCTCTATTCTTTTTCTCCTTGCACCTAACGTTCCAGATTTGTTCTCTCTTCCTCCAAATAACTATTTTCCACTTCTAAAAATGCAGTATGAAGTACACATCAATGATAGCTATGCAGAACTTCATGGTCTCCATTAAAAACCAGAAGATAAATCATTTCTTTTCTGGGTTTTAAATAATTTAAGTGAGAAAGAAACACCTGATCTCCTAACACACTTCAAACAAAATAAAGTCCCATGAGCCACTTCCCTAAATGATCTCTTTTCTTCCCATACAAGTATCAATTTATTTTCCTTGACAGACAGAATAAGGAAAATATGATGAAAGCAATTAAATATATTCCCTTAGAAGAAAGTCCAACAACCCCTTCTTTCATATGAACAGGCAGGACCAGACAAAATTTTAATTAGCTATCCACCCCTCGCCCTACACACTTCGTTATTTTTACACTTTCTTTTAAACATTTTCCTTTCTAATATCTACGCTGCCAAATACCTGGGAATTAATCAACAAACTGAAATATGAAAATTAATCCCTAAAAGTTCTGTGATCATAGTTAACCATAACTCAACAGAATAACATTTACATTTGTTAGTACACAAAAGAAAAAGCCATGCCAGGAACAGAAAACAACTTGAAGCAAATAATAGTTTGTAACAACTCAGCTTAGGTTCCAACTGAGCCACTTAATAAATAAAAGGGCTCAAGGACTGGCAAAGCTTTATGAAAAGTTACCCCATTCAGTACTGAGTTTTTAAAATTAATGAAGTTGGTGCCATTATTTATTCAAACAATATTACACAAAGAAAAATAGTAACAGTAATAATTTATGACATACATCTCTTCTCCAATCAGTATCTGTGGTATTTAATAATTCTAAACTCCCTGCCTTTAATTAAGGGCTTTATCTCTTTAATGATTTATTTCATATTCCTGAAGTTATTTTAACTAGCACAGTGAAAAACACTAAACATAGATCTAATTCTCTAATTTCATATTTCTATTCTTAACCCAATCTAATACATTGGCCAAGAAAATGTTTTAGTAGTTTAAGAAATCACAAAGAAAGAGAATTTCTATCAGTCACTTAAGCGCAAAACAGTAGCAAGAGACTGGGTTTTCAAGTCGGGAAGACAGTTTGATTCCTTGAACCATGACTTGTTCACCACATGACTTTGGGCAAATTATCGAAGCTTTTTGAGCTTTAATTACTACATCTGTAAAGTAGGGATATAACTATCTACTTTGCAGAGGTCCCACAAAGTTAAATGAGAAAATACGAAGGTGTTCAATAAACAAATGTCCTTCCTTTTCTGTTCTTTTCTTCTGCTTTCTCTGGACAGGAGTCACGTATTCTGTCACCAATGTGTTTTCTATAACATGTTAAAAAAAAAAAAACTGCTAAGATTCTCTAAGTGTTTAGTATTTCAACCAGTTTTACGCTGTTCAGGATTAGCCATTCGGTTTATGCATAATCCAACACCCTCTGTTTTTCCTCTCTAGCCTTTCTGGTATTTGCCTTCAGATAAAACAACATTCTTAAGTTCAACAAGAAAGAATATATGGTGGAAATAAAGGGTCCTAAAGAAAGAAGTGTGGAGAAACAGATCCGAGGTCCAGGAAAAGAGCAGTGGTGATGAAGTAGTGTATTTGCCAAATTAATTCTGCGCATTAAGGTCTCCACAACCCCCATGACATCTGTCTCTTTCCTATATTCCTGTCAATGGAGAAACACTGGCAGTCCATGTGTAAAAGGTGGAAAAATAAATTATCAATGTATGCGTTTTAAATACATGAGTATTTGTCTTTAGCAGTTATATGAATATAAAAGATTTGTGTATAGAGAAGGTAGACAAAAGGAAACAAAGCATTTGTTAAAGGAGATTTTTAGCTAATTTACAAATTTCATTTAATTATATATTCTTTCCTTCATTACATGATAAATCAAATACTGGCTGAAAGAGTAAATAGCAAAATATCTAGAAACTTATTGTACTAGAAACTTATATACTAAAAATGAAACATTTACAAAAATAATACAGGGTTTTGCAGTGCTCCATACAAGTTAGGTCCACTCTTCCCCTAGGAAAAGCAGCACTCTAAGCTCAACATGCTTTCATGCTGGAGATCTTTCAGCACTTCTTTTCCAACTTTGAGGGATTATTTACAAATGCCACTGTTTGGCAAAGAGCAGGCAGATGACATCTTTCTTATTCTATAGTAAATGTGAAATTTGATTGACTGATCCTGTATTTGTGCCTATACCATACGACAGACTTTCCCACCTGGGAGCTGACTCACATGCTCCCCTAATAACTATACAGATTCCACTAAAAAGGATCCTACATTCTAGCAAGTGAACGGATTCCTGTGGTACCAGACTTACCCATTGTGAGTTACAAGGCACTGCCTCAGTCCCAGCTTTCGGAAAATATCCACCACAATCTCCATTGGGGTGTGGTCTGTCACTGTAAAAGGGCTCATGTCAAGAATGCTTCGAAGCTTCAATGGCCGAGGACTTTCTGCTGGAAGAGATGGGGTGTGCTGTGCAAAACACACCCGAGAACTGCCAACAATACCTTCTTGTTTTTTCCTGGCACTTTCTGAAAAGAGAGAGGAGACCAACACCTTAAAATTGATAGATTTTTAAGTAGGCAACCTGTTTATTCAGCAATAAAAAGAAACTAATGTATCCTATGACTTCTGATCCCTTCATTTTTTCCTATCTTCTCCTTAACCAAGAAAGGAGTCAACTGAAAAGCCACTTAGCAATTTTTTATATTTGATTGAATTAGAAGTCAACAATAATATATCATCTTCATGGAAGAAAGTCTTTTTTGGTAAAGTTATATCATTGTACACTTTTCTTTACTGAAGCTGTTTTCTAACTTGGGGGCTAAGGAAGTGGGTTTGGAATATGGGATTTTAAAACCTGCACAAATTCTGAGCGCAGTTTATTAAAGGAATCCATCATCAAACGAAGCCTGCCTCTGCTGAATGTTACTTATTCTGCACTGGAGGTGGCACGAAAGAGAGTTTCATCCTTGCTTTGATTATGCTGCGTCCTCCATCCCTATGAATTAGCTGGTTCTTTTTCTTTTCTCATGTTAAAGTATAATTTTCTAGAAGAGTCATGAACATTACAGATGAGATGAAGCTACAATTATGCACATAATGCACACAGACTGATTTTGGGGGGTTGTTTTCTTTGTAAAGGCTTTGTTAACTTCTCTCCAGTGTGCTCTGCTTCAAGTTCTTCTGTCCTGCTGCCTACTTCCACTCTACCGTTGAAAGAAAGAAAAAAATCTGAATGAAACTGGTGATTAAAAAAAAAAGAAAGTCCTAGACAAGAAGTGGCAAAGACAGAGAAAAGTTCAGAGATCACACCAGACGGAGAAGGAACTCAATGAAGAGAATCTAAAAATAAAATAGTCATTCGGCTTTACGTTTCTACTTTGAGTTAGTATTAAAACTGAGTATACACAGATATGATATTTGTTATAGTGAAAATATTTTGGCTGGCCATGGTGGCTCAGGCTTATAATCCTAACACTTTGGGAGGCCGAGGCAGGAGGATCACATGCGCCCTGAAGTTCAAGACAAGCCTAGGCAACATAGAGAGACCTTGTTTCTACAAAAAAAAAAAAAAAATATTAGCTAAGCATGATGGTGGTCCCAGCAAATTGGGAGGCTGAGGTGGAAAGATCACTTGAGCCCAGAAGTTCAGGGCTGCAGTGAGCCATGATCATGCCACTGCACTCCAGCCTGGGTGACAAAGCGAGACTCTGTCTCAAAAAGAAAAATTATATTTTGAACACAAATTTTACTATAAAAATATTTAAGCCATAATAAGCATCAGTCCTAAATTGAGAAGCAGATATTACTGCAAACAATGCACTGCTTTTTACTCCTTTTGAACACTACAGCCTTCTTAACCATGTTCTAACACATTTGAGTAGGAAGGCTACTAAGTAAAGCCCCAGCAACTAGTACTTACTCGACCACCTTAAAAGCATGATCAGGCCGGGTGCAGGAGCTCACGTCTGTAATCCCAGCACTTTGGGAGGCCAAGGCGGGCACATCAACGGAGGTCAGGAGTTCAAGACCAGCCTGGCCAACGAGGTGAAACCCTGTCTCTACTAAAAATACAAAATTAGCTGGCATGGTGGTGCATGCCTGTAATCCCAGCTGAGGTAGGAGAATCGCTTGAACCCGGGAGGTGAAGGTTGCAGCGAGCCGAGGCCGCGCCCATTGCACTACAGCCCGGGCAACAAGAGTGAAACTCTGTCTCAAAAAAAAAAAAAAAAGATCATAGCATAGAAAAGAAGTCCATTAGCAACTGACATAAATGATTTTTGAAAAATACCCATTAAGTTGCTTTAAGCTCATAACAATCTAACAACTGAATGGTGTCTGACAACTGAATAGTGGAGTGTAAAACTACTAGAAGTATCATTAATGGATTCACAAAATAAGACGTAAAGTATGACATCAATAGTATAAAATGTGGATGGGGGAGTAAAACTCTATAATTTTTGTATGCAACTTTAGTTGTCACAAGAAATATATAGTCAAATTCAGAATGCTCTAAAACTACAATGGGGTTTGTAAATCATTTCTAACTCTAGTATAAAAGTTGAAAGACAAAAGAATTAAAAGAACTACAGCAGGCCAGGTACAGTGGCACGCGTCTGTAATCCCAGCTGCTCCAGAGGTTGAGGAGAGGGGACTGCTGAAGCCCAGGAGTTCGAGTCTACCCTAGGCAACACGGAAGACCTCATCTCTAAAAAAATAATAACTATAGCTAAAATAATTCATTAATAGATATACAACATAAAAAGATGTGAAGTGTGATATTAGAGTAACGTTATGAATTAAAACTAACCCCAATTATCAATCTTAAAAACCGACAAAGTAACAAACATTATATCGTCAATGAAATTATACTGATTTAAACATTTAATAACAAAATACGTAATTTTAGAAATTTTTTAAAAATTATTTAATGGAAAGTTTCTCCTACATACAAAGTACCAGAAGTGAACATTCAATCTCTTTGACTTAAATTCGTCATTTAAAAAATAACACTTTTCGCCAGGTGTGGTGGCTCACACTTGTAATCCCAGCACTTCAGGAGGCTGAGGCAGGTAGATCGTTTGAGTCCAGGAGCTTGAGACCATCCTGGGCAACATGGCAAAACCTTGTCTATACAAGAAATACAAAATTTAGCCAGTCATGGTGGTGCGTGCCTGTAGTCCTAGCTAATCAGGAGAGTGAAGTGGGAGGATCACCTGATGCTGGGGAAGTCGAGGCCGAAGTGAGCCAAGATCGTGCCACTGCATTCCGGCCTGAGAAACACGGTGAGATGCTGTCTCAAAAAAATAAATTACTTTTAATCTTTCATTTCATTTGGAAATTGTTAAGGAGAGGGATTTTAGATACTCTCCCCACACAAAAAAAATATGAGTTAATTAGCCTGATTTAATCATTCCACAATATACACATGACATAAACATACAATTTTTATCAATTAAAAATAAATAAAATGTAAAAAACAAGTATTACTTTTATATAAATACAGTTTTTTCGTTCGTTTGTTTTTAGAGACAGGGTCTCACTCTGGACTCTAGGGTCCCAGGGATCCTCCTGCATCAGTGTTCCCGGTAGCTAGGACTACAGGTGGCACCACCACACTCAGCCAATTTTTTTTTTTGGTAGAGACCGAGGTCTTGCTATGTTACCCAAGCTGGGCTTGATCTCCTAGTGCCAAACAAACCTCCCACCCTGGCCTCCCATTTAAAAATATTTTTGATGCTATTCATTCAAGGGCCTTTGAAATAAAGAACATTACAATTTTCATTTTCTTCATTTTTAAAAGAATATTTTTGGTGCTGTTCATTCAAGGGCCTCTGAAACAAAGAACAACATTAGTTTTT